CGGACAAACTGATTTATTTTTTTTTAATTTGAATCTATTTATGTTATGTTATGTGATGTTTAGTGGGGGTGGGGGAATTCTCCTCTGTGCCTGTTTTGTGATGGCACTCATATGTATGCATACATGCAGGTGTACGTATTGCAGTTTTCACAAACATATATATGAACAATGTGGGGCCAGGTGCAATTGTGGTTGTTTCAGTGTTGAAATTGTGTAGCAAAGTTCTTTCCACATGGGGTGGGTTGTGGTGTTCTTGTCATTTTTCAGATGGTTTGTTTATGTTGTTAATGGAATGATACTTCCTCACATACACGCATGTATACGTGTACATACATTTCTATCAGCCTGGGCCTTACATTGCTTAAAATGGGTTCTGTATATGAATATAGCTGTGAAGATGATAATTTTACTTTTAACGTTGCTTGCTTGTGTATTATAGATGATTGCACTTATATAAATAGTCGAATTCCTAATTTATATTACTTATTGGTATGTTTACGGAAAATTGGCACTAATTTTGATGTGGAAGGGGGATATGATTGTAAAAGGAATGTGATGATGGTAATGGATGTAGCAAGCATAAAGATGATGGTGAAATAGAATGAAATAATAATTACAGTAATGAGATCAATAGCAATTGTAGAGGATGTGGAAACAATGGTGGTAGTAAAACATAATGATAATAACAGTGGAAGTAACAAATAGTAATGGTAATAATAGTAGTAATGATGATAGTAACAGAAGTAAAATAAAATAATAGTAATGATAAAAATAGTAAAAATAAATAATGATAATTAATGATAAATTAAAAGTTAAAATAGCAGTAGTGAATAGTAATAAATAAATAAATAATTATGGAAGTGGTAATAAATAATAATAGTAATAGTACTAGTAAAAGAGATAATGAATAAAAAAAAAAAAAATACAGAATCCATTTTAAGAATGAAAAAGCATTCTTGAAGATTTCATTTTAGTTTTAATTGAAAGCTAAATGATTAAATTTATTATTTCCAGTAACTAAAATATTCTGGTGTATTTCAGATAAAAATTATATAGATTGGAATGTCAAATAATTGCTTGATTTTTAAAAAACATTTTTAAAGCAGCCATTTTCTTATTTGTTTTTATTAAGTTTGGGTCCTTTTTTCATCATGATATGCTGTTTTTACGCAACCAAGTGGAGATACCTAATTTTAAGCAATGTAAGGCCCAGGCTGATTAATATATATATATATGTACGCGTATAAATGCATGCATGTGTGTGGGGGTATCATTCTGTTAACAACATAAACAAACAATCTGAAAGATAAGAACACTGCAACCCACTCCTTGTGGAAAGAACTCTACTACACGATCTCAACACTGAAACGACCACAATTGTGTATGTATATGTACTTGAACACATGGATACAGGTATGCGCCTGGCCCCACATTGTTCATATATGTATATATTTCCAAGAACTACAATACATACACCTGCATGTATATATGTCTGTGTACATATGAGTGCCATCCCAAAACGGACCCAGAGGAGAATTTTTTTCTCCCCTACCACCAAACATCATGAAACATAATCAAACAGAAACTGACATAAATAGATTCAAATTTTAAAAGAGAAATCAGTTTGTCTGAGGATCACAAACGTGTGAAACCTAGTGTTACAAACTCACATCCATACAACTAAGTGTATTATATATATATATATATATATATATATATATATATATATATATATATCATACAGTAGGAATTAAGATTACATTAGTCTAATGATCATTTTCACCTTGTAAATTGAAATGAAATTTACAAGGATTTTTCAAACCAGTCAATGATAAATTATTGAAATAAAAATGGTCAGACCTCTGAAAAACATTGAGCTTTATGTGTGAATCAGTTATAATATTTTATTTTATATTGTACCAGCAGTAGAGCCTGGCGTTGCCCGGGGATGTAACAGTAAGAGATAGATCAAGTATCGACCATCATAAAGACTGAAAAATAAAATTGACAAAGATTATTGCTTAAGGTTGACGGACATGCATATCTTATTTTTTTTTTTGTGTTTTTTTGGTTGTTTTTTTTTTTCACGAATTGGTCAAACCCAAACAAAAACATTGTTTTCATTTGTTATGAGTCTACCGATTGAATAGAATTTTATTATAAACAATTGTCTTGTAAATGGAATTTTGAAAGCATTCTGAATGTAAAAATAAAGAAAAAAGTGTGCAAGACAATAAGAAACACTACCTGCCAAAAGAAAAGTGAAGTTTTGTTGAAATCGGTTGAAAAATGTAGGATATCCGATCCCATATATAAACGAACGAACACACACACACACACACACAAACAACCTGGGTTTTATAAGTAAAATTCGATATGAGTTGTCCCCCTTTCATTCTGGCGACAGAATCATGTTTTATCGTGTTTTCAAATTGATTTTGTGCAAAAACAATTGTGTTTTTCCAATTTTTGGCACTGTCAGAACCATCGCAAGGTAATTTTACGCAATCCTGTGAAGTTTTGTTGAAATTGGTTGAAAAATGTAGGAAATCCGATCCAATATATAAACGTACAGACACACACACACACACACACACTCTGCATTTTATAATAAGTAAGATTAATAGGATTCACTTGGATTATATACCAATGGATTATTACCTCTGTGTGTGTGTGTGTATATATTTATATAAGGTTTCTTGCTTCATTCACATTTGCAAATCCAAGTTCATTCTTAAATGTTGAAAATATGGGCATGTTAAATCCCGTAAGATTTTATTAATGTTTTATAGAATTAATGACAAATTTAATTTTTTTTAATACTTTTGTTATTTTCTTTTTTGAAAAATATACATTTAACATATTTTTTATATTTTGTCAAACTTTATTTATATATTATAATTTGTTACTTGTCTTAAAATTTGGTCCCAAGTGTTGGTGCATGTGCTGAGAAAGATTTGAATGACTTTGATAAAGGCCAAATTGTTATGGCCAGAAGACTAGGACATAATTTTTGAAATGGCACGGCTTGTATATGCTCACATTCTGTTGTGATGAGTCCTATCAATAGCCAACACAATGTAAAGTCATGAAAAGAGGCTTTCCTACTAAGGGCTACTGTGACATAAATTAGATTGCTTTAATCAAATTGAAGGTAGTCAAGCATCACAACACACAGTATATCAATAGTCTTAGTATCCATGCTAACCAATGTTCATTGCTAAAAGTGTCTCTCATGGGCTTGTGAGCATCAGAACTTTGCTTTGTATGAATGGAAGGTCATCTAATCCAGTGAGTTTCACTTTCTCCTGAAGAAGGTGGACTGTAGATTACATGTGTATCAATATTCTGGGAAAGCACTAAAGGTTCAGTGTGAGGAAACAAGATGGTTAGGTTTGCTGGGAAACCCTGGCTCCTATCATTTATGTAGAAGGTACTTTATCACATATCATCTACCTCAGCATATTTGAAAACTGGCATGCTTCTATAAAGGCAGTGGCATCTTTCAGTAGAATATCAGTTGATATCTGAATTTCAATTCCTACTATTCGTAACCTGAAGGAAAGGATCATCTTTTCACAATATCAAACCAAACTCATAAGCGGTGACCAAGACACATACCAATAAGAAATTATCTGTATTAGGAACACTCTTCAGATTCTGCAAGAATAACATGGCTTCCACAAGCAAAGATACAAAAATGGGTAACAACTGTCAGCAAAATGCCATGGCCTGTTTGCCTTATATCAGAATTTTGTTGGGAAAGATTCAGAGGATTTGTAGTCTATAAAATATCAAGATAGTATTCAAAAGGACCTACACTCTTCAGAGACTTCACCAGAGCCAATCCTTCAGTTGAGAACATGCTCAAGAACTGTCTGTATAGCACTGCATGCAGTTGTAACAGAGAATATAAAGATTAGTCCAGTTGTTCTGTAAATTTTATAAATGGAAGAACATTAAAACATGGAGAGATTATAAAGTCAAATATAGCTGAGCCTGTGTAAAGAGGAAAGGGAATGTCATCAATCCCTATTGAGCAAAGTTAGAGTAATAAAGAGCAGCAGTGGAGAATAAGAGAAATGAAAGAATCAGTGCATATGCTAATCTCGATTACTTTCCTCAGTTGAGCGAAATTTCCTTTGAGTTTGTTTAATTCTAATGTCAATTTACTGTTTAACATTTAAAGGTTGGAGTCAACTTTATTAGAATTGTAAATGTTCACTTATATTTTCTATTTCAATATAAAATTGTTTATTTTCTTGTGCCTGATGAACCTTATTTTAATTGTTATATTTTAGATATTGTAAATTTTATAACAAAACAGTTATGAAACGAACTGTGCAAGAATTCCATGAGACAACTGTGTGCTGAGGTTACCCTGTCTGATGTACAATTGTTAAGGTACCTGTCAGTCTGTTCCACAAATTTGAGATTTTACAGATGTTCAAGCTTATAAGTACTTTTATTCAAAACATATGTGCTTTTAATCAAATTTATGACTCTTTACTTAAAAGATAATTATTTTGAGAAAATTAAAGCCTAATTGATTTCAAAAGTGAAAAAAAAGTTCGTGTTCTCATGGATTTTAGACATAGTCTTATCTAATTAATGTGCTTTTCTATCTTGTTTTAGCATCTGACCTGGCACCACGTCGAAAGCAGAGAAAAGCCATCTCATATGAAATGGTGCAAATAGCACAACAAATGGTTGATCAAGGAAAAAAAAATAAAGAAATACAACAATTTCTCAATTTATCAAAAAATGCTACATTAACTCTCACCAAGAAAATTGTTGAGCAAGGAGATGAATTTGTCAAAAACTTCAATCCCACCCCACTGAGAAGCTCAGCCTCTGCAATACGAGACCAAAAGATTAAAGAGAAAATTGAAATATATCTCAGTACTGATCCTTCTCTGACACAAAATGCTATTTTAGAAAAGTTGAAAAAAGATGGAATAATCACCAGTCAGCCACAAATTTCTAAAATCCTAAAATCTATGAAGGGATATTTCTGTAAAAAAAGGCATTGGATAGAGCAGGGTTTGTAGAAATGTTTTTACATGTTAAATTCTATAACTTTTCTCGATCCTGCAGTAGGTGCTTTTGTTATGCCATGTTTTCAAGCATTATGTACAGAGTTTTTCAAAACACATGGACTTTTATTCAAATACTTTCATTAAGTACCTTCATTTAAGAAATATTTAATTTAAAATTTGTATTTTTTTTTTCAATTTTATTATAATTTTATTTCAATTTTGAATGACACCCTTATTAGGATAAATTTAATTTTTTTTAACCTCTTAATCTTTTAATCATAAGTAATTTTCTTTAACAGATTTTATTTTCTCATTCACTTAATGATCCATTTGTTATAGTGTTTTTGCCATTTTATCAGAGAGAGATTTTCTTGCTGATGGTGGATTCATGAAAAAGAAAACTCAAAGATTATAAGTTTTTTTTTTTTTTTTTTTAAAGGCATTTAAGCTCTTTTTTTTCAAAAATAAATTTAAATGCAAAAAACTTAGGTTTTAAATAAATATACATGTATTAAAATATTAAGATGCTGAATAAAACCTGAATAAAAATACTTATAAATTTAAATAAAAATATTGTTAAACAATATGTTTAATATAGAAAACGTTCTTGATTAGTTCTGTCTTGAATAAAAGTCCATGTTTTGAATATAAATAATTTTTTCTTAAATTTTCAAATGTTAAAATTAAAAGGTGAAGGAAATATTTGAAAAATTAAAAATGCTTAACTCATTTGCTTTAATGATATGCATTTTATATTTCATTTAAATTCTAAATTTTTTAAATTAAATTTTTCTTTACAAATCACCTTATGTTTCTAAGGATGTTTGCGTGTCTCCTATTTGTTGGCACTCTCTAAAACCTTTCTTTACATTCATTCAGTTAGCAATTTTAAATTCTGTGAAACTAAAAATAGAAAACTGGTATACATCTTAATATTGGATATAGATTGACTTCCTATTACTTCTATTACTGGAATCAGTTCTGTATGTCAAATTTGATTGAAGATAATGGTCAATTAAAAGGCCATATAATGTCAGTAGGTATATAACGCTCTTGGAGTTTAAATGATTATTTGCAGCTTTTTTTTTCACTGTAGATCTTATTCTTTATACAAAATTCTAACTTTTTAAAATATTCCTGGGTCCTATGTGATCTAATCTTTTTATTTTTGGTGCTGGTATGAATATACTTCCAACAACAATGTTTTTTCTTTTACACATGAAATTTCCATATTAATGAGAGTGCAAGTCTTACTCTAAAAGTAATGCTGCTTATTATGTACTGACCATGACATGAAAGGCAGATGTTGGTGATAATGTTTATTTTTTTTTTTTATAACAGCAGAACGGCAGTCTGGCAAAATGGCATCTGACATGAATATACATACAAAGTAGTGATGACATTTCCATATGGAAAAAAATTGATGAATGTTTATTGATACCAAACAATATATTTCAGCACAATTAGACAGTGGGTAATGTTTTAGTCATAGTAACATTGATAGCAAGTGACATTCCAAGTGAACCTGTACAGTTGTCAACCTATGACATGAAGAGCTCTTGTTGATCACTGACAAAAATGCATAGCCAATGACAATGTAGTATTTTGTAGCCAAAACCATGTCCTGTCTGATGCCATTATTATGTATAGGCTGTAGTTTCCATGGAAATATATAAGAAGCATTATTTTTGGAGCATGCCCTCACAGTACTTTTTTTTTCCAGGAACTTACAGAAATTTCTCTTTCTGGTTATTTACTATTATTTTGAAATTTAATAAAATTTATATATATATATGTAAATATTTTTCTTCCAATGTTACTAAATTTGTGAATATTCAAGCTCTTTTTATTTCTTTCTGGTTTAATTGTTGGTAATGTATATGTGATCTTGGTTTTTTAGTTGATTATCACTTAGAATTCCATTAATCAAATTGAAAAGTATTGACAATTGTGCCTCAATCTTCCAGTTAATATATCATGTTATAAACTGATTTATTTAAAAAACGTTTTGAAATAGGAATAGATTTCATTCTTCTTAATCTAGAAAGGTAATTTTTTTCATTTACATTCATTTCTGTCCTTTCGAAATAGCATTTAGAAATCTGATATTTCAAAATATGTTTAATTTTTTTTTTTATTCACTTAATGGTAATGTTAATATTAGCTATTTGTCATTCATTGACTGAGCAGTCAGTACTGTTTTCGGTTGAAATTTATAAAATCTTTCTCTTAAAACAATTTTTAAGGAAAATAGATTTTTCAATTCCAATAGCTGTTATCACTCTTTCTAGTATTGAAGGTTTCCTACTTAACATTTTATTTGAAGTAGTGTGGCATGATTGTCATTATTTTCTCATGTGCTATCCATTTTAGTTGTTGCCACTGTTGTTAGTCCTCAGGTGATGTGGTTTCTGTTATTTGTTACAGTTCTTTGTGATTCTGTAGCCCCAGTCCACGATGTTCAAAGCAGGACAATTAATGTTTTAAATAAAAGAATAGTACAGGTATAAATTAAGAAAAAACACAAACATGAAAATACTATTTTGTTGGAGTATGACCAATTAAAACTGTGAGTGTAAAATAATTCAATCTTATCTGATATTAATTCTTAAGAGTTTTTCTATACTAGAGATTTTCACTCTGATTAAAAGCTAGAAACATTATAAGTTAGTACACCATTTTATATTGTTTAATGATAAAAATAATTTCATATCACAATTGTAGAAGTATTTAGGAGTTCATTTAGGAATGATTGCTTTGGTTATAAAATTTCAAAGTTCATTTTAAATTGAAAAAATGTTTAAAATGAATAAAAAAAAAATGATAGAATTTGAATGTATCTCCAAATTCAGAAAGAAAACAATTTGACTATTATTATTCTTTATCATTATAAACCACAGATTATCTAAATTGTGGTATATTTGATAATGTCTCTTCAATTATTCCAAGTTGAAAAAAAATAAACTGGAATCATTTAAATATGTGCACTTAATACATAAATTCATTGTGTGTCCCTTTCTTTATGTATTATTTTCAACCTCATTTTAATTCTTCATAAATATCAGTGCACAATTCTGCAAAATTTTATTTTCCTATACAGATATTATTTATTTACTGCTTTTTTCTCTTTTCTTTGTATATTTTCTGTTATGTAGCATGTTTCATTATCAGGATATGCTGGTAGTGGAACAGTTATCATTGCAGAAAGTGGAATCGACAAGTCAATTTCACATTCCAACCTAGTTATTTGTATTCACTTACACAGCTGCACTTGGGGAAGGCATGAATCCATCTCTTTCCAGCTATCCTATAAATAGCCAGGTAGATTCATCTCTCTAGCCTTGGATTGAAAAAGGAAAACTCTGAATTGCAAACCATGGAGAAGGCAATGTTAAACTGCTCCATTATCTTTCCCAAGAATGCATAGCAATTCACAGATAATAAAGAAAAAAAGTGGTGGGCATGATGACCTATACTCAAGACCAGATTTATAAACTGAAATGACATTAATATGACAAACTCATATTTATTTGATTTTTCAGGAAGGAAAACAAGGAAAAGAAGAATGTTTTAGTTTGTGTCATTGTGTTTCAAATAGATAACATTTGATTTTAGTTCAGAATGTTTAAATCTTAAAAATTTTTATAAAGCAGTGATTTTCATTTTCTAGATGTTATAACTTCTAAATAATTTCATAAACTAAAATGGTATCAATATGATAAACTTATATATTTATTTGACTTGTTTTATTGTTATAATGCTGGTTATAAAAAATCTGTTTTTTTGCTACAGTTGTGTTGAAATATGTGTTAATTTGGTTTGCAATAAATAGTAAAATAGTGAAGGTATTTCTTTAGGAATATTTTTATTGACAAACAAAAGATAGCTATTCTAGTTTATTTAAAGAATTTGCAATAAGTTGAAGCTATGTAAATTTCACTAAAATATATCACAAGTATAAAAAAAAATATTCAAGGAACTTGTGGTGGAGTTAGAGGTTGGCTCCATAATTTCATTGACTTTGGGGTTCCCAAAGGGTCATAATTCCATCCTGCCTACAAGCTGAGAGGAAATGGCATTTAAAAAAGACAGATTTGTTTCATTATGGAGTTATTTAAGAGTCATTCTATCAGACTAGCATGTATGGGGTACCAATCATATCAATCTGTCAGTCTACCCTAAACTAAGATCTTTCTTGTATATAAAGCACAGGATTAATTTTTGTTTTGTTTAGTATACAGTATTTTGTAGAAAATTCTTTTTATTTTTCTTTTGGAAATTTAGTATTTTTGAAGATTTCTTTGAGAAAAAAAATGTTAGTTTTCTTTCTCTCCCCATAGGTATTTGATCCTATCAAAGAGTTTATATCTATTGATATAAAAATAGAATATTGATCTTGTGTTATGCTAAGAAATATTTGTTAGTATCATAAGAATCCTCTTTATTAACTTATGTTTCTTTTGTTTCAGGTATGGAAGACCCAAGAAACGAGGAATTGTTCAATTCTATGTTATATCAAATGACACCTCAGACCCAGGTTAGTGTTATTAGGTTGTAATGCAAAAAAAACCCCAAAAAACATTTTATATTTGGCTTAGTTTAAATTAAGTATACTGATCTCATTTCTAATGCTGACAATACACTCCAGAAAAATCATTTTGGGTTTAATACATTTTAATTAAAATAATTATATTTTTCCACTAGAAAGTAAAAAAAAAATAAAAAATAATTATGATAAAAAAGACTTATTATATGAGTGCAAAAAAAAAAAAAAGACTGGCATTTGTCTTGATATTTCAGAAATGAAACTTATTTTTGTAACATTTTTTTTTTTTTTTACATTCTCTCTTAAAGCAGTTTGACAAAAATATTGATGTTGATGCTATTTTAACTTTACCCAATAGTTTTGCTAAATTTCATGCTGAAATATTTTTATTTTCTTAAGAATAAACCACAACAAAACATTTCTGCAGCATTAGGAAAACCAGTCAACACTGAAAGAAGCAGGAAAAGTCCTTTAAATATTGCATCTACCAGTAATTCCATGGTGGAAGCCATTGAAGTTGAAAATGCTTCCCCTCCAGCTAAAAAAGCCAGAGAAATTCACATTGACGTGTAAGTTTCTTTTTCATCTACTTTATATACACTGAAGTATGTCACTCTAGTTTTTAAAGTATTTCTTGTGTGCGAGTAATATTTGATAAAATATTACAAAGAAAATTGACGCTTTTTTTTTTCTTCTTTCCTCTTTTACTAATATGATTACACAAACACACAATCTGAAATGCTGCTGTGTATTAGACTGTGAAAATGATTGTTTCTAAACTAATTACAGCAATCTACTCTTATGGATTGGAATTATTTACCAAAGTTAAATAACATTTTGCCTCCTCATTAAATATTAGCTAATTCATAATTTCATATTTGGATTGTTAAAAAAAAAAGAAAAAAATGACTTTGAGTAAGTAAAATACCTCTTAAAATCTGTCAGTGTACAGTTTTATCTGGAAATGGATTATTTTCTCCAAAAAAGATATCAAAAGATATGTGTAGTGATATGTAAATGAGTTACTGTATAAAAGGCAGTATTATTGCTACACCTACAATTGGTTACTTAATCATGATGGAGGATCCTGAGTATGTGGAAACCTGGCTTAGGTGTTTTGCAGTGTCGACGAGTGTAAAAAAAAAGTTAAAGGGCACCAAAGCTAGTGGAGGAGAAAATGAAGTTATGGATTTATTTTGGACTTGGGGTGTGAAGCCATAAAAAAATCTCCATGATCTATCCCAAAGTAGCAATTGGGCTTCACCCATGGTGGTGATACACAAGTCCAATGGAGATTTAAGTATTTGTGGTGATTATAAGATGGGTGATTAAACTTATGGCGTTCAACTTTGACATTGTATATATTAAAGGAAATACTATTCCACATGTGAATGCATTATCTCTGATAAATTTTGAGTAAAATTGTTGAAGAAAGTGAAAATTGTGAGGATAGGATTTTGCACTGGATAGAATTGGACATATTGCCCTTAAATTGGCTTAGGTTGGGAACTAGGCAGAATCCAGTGTTGAATACCAGTTTGATAGAATAAAGAGAAATACATGGAGTAATTGCTCTATGGCTGAAAGGACTTATAAAGAGTCAAGACACAAATTAACAATAGAAAAAGGAATTATGCAATGGAGATATCATAGTACCTCCACAGTCTATGAGAAAAGAAGTAATTAAAGCCATGCACGATGATATACATGGAGGTATATTGGCTATGTAGATAAGGTTAAAATTGCAAGCATTGTGGCCAGGCTATTTGAGAGACGTGAAAGAGTATGTTAAAAAATCCCTCAAATTGTGTAGAAATAAAAAAACTTACGAACTAAAATTCACTCTTGGCCAAAGGAAATGGAGCTGTGGACACAAGTACACATTGATCGTGCCTACATTAAAGGTATAGGACTGTTTCTGATATTAATTTACTTGTATTCAGGTTGGCTTGCAGTTATTAAAGTCACAGATAGAAAAACCACTATTGTGAAGCAGGTGTTGAGGATAGTGTTTTTTAGAAATGGCGTTCCAAAAACCTTCATCTCCGACAATGCACCTGAGTTTTGTGAAGAAAATTTATGTGCATGGTTAAAATGTATTGGCTGCATTCCATACAAAACACCACCTTACCACCCACAGTCAAATGGAATTGCAAAGAGAATGCTTCAAATGGTAAAAATGGGATTAAAAACATTCTCTCCAGTGGATTGTGATATAGAGTTATTTACCCAGATGACTCCTAAATTATAAAGCTATTCCGCATTCAGCCCATCCGTATTGATAGGAAAACAAATAAGAACTCTGATTACCAGTTGTTTGCAATGAATGAAAGTGTGTGATACAGAAAGAATAAAGAATCAAGTCCTGAAAAGGTGAATTTTGTGATGCAAAAGGGTTTTAACTCAACTGTGTTAACAAAGAAGGGACAGGGCATACTGGCTCACAAAGACGTCAAAGATCAACTAAAGGTATAAAGCCTTTTAAGTTCAGGGAGGTGTAGTGATATGTAAATGAGCTACTGTATAAAAGGCAGTATCACTATACCTATGAGAGAGTTATCTTCTCTTGACAAGATTTCCTGTCAGAGAGAATACCTATCATATCAATATGAATTCTTTTAAATGTGGTTTCATTTCTTAACTCTGAACATTCAGTTATGTGCCATGCATGATACATGCTTAGGCAATCATGTATCTTTTGATACATGACTGACAAGGCAGATTTTTTTCCACTGTAGGTTGCCATTTCTTTCAGCGGTAGACCAGTTGCCATCCAAGATTATAGAACCCAGTCTGTTCTGCTATTTAACCATAGCTGGAGGGAGAAGAAGAGGATTCATACCTTTCCCAAGGGTACTAGCACATAAGTGAATGTAATAGATTCATCTGGAATTCGAACTCTGAGTTCCAATTCCTCAATCCATTACTCCACTGTCATTTAATATTAGGTTTTAATCTTAGATATGTTTTGCAATTAAACTGTAGCTGAATTTCTTTCTACTATTTTCTAGTGATGTCTCTGAAGAGGAGTCACCTGTTGTCTCAAAGCCTCTCTTGCAACCAACCATTGAACCTCCTGCACAGAAATCAGTGACTACATCAATGAAATCTACACCTGCTCAGCCATCATCTGTTGTCCATAATCCTGTCCTTGATATTAATGTTCCTCAAAAACAGAAACGTATTCTGGTTGTTCCAAATCATCAACAATCAGTTATGTCTAACCTTTCATCTTTATGGAAGGCTGGAAGGTTATGTGATGCCTTTATTGGCAATGGTACAGTCAATTTGAAGGTAAACAGCTTGTCCTGATTCTTGTATAAATGTAGCTTTGCTTTCTCTGGTACACATACAATTTTGAAAATAAGACATCTTATTTTTATCCAAAACAAAATTCATCAGTTTCAGAGCATAGTTTAGAGTTCTAAAGTAAAAAAAAAAAAAAAAATTTTTTGCTTTATCCTCTCTCAAATATTACCAAGATTATATTACCATGTACTGAAATGTCAACTATTTTTTTCCCTACAAGTTATAAAGATATTTTTGGGAATCTTGATTCCTAAGCTTAAGTAATCCTTAAACTCATTATGTTCATATTCTTTGTAGCTTCACTTGTTAAAAATATTTTTAATTTTGTTTGGATGAAAATTTAAAACTATAAATCTATTAACTTATTGGTGATATGTTGTTCTGAAAATGCTTTATTTTCATATTTAAAACAGTTAAAATTTTCTTCATACAATATGAATTGCTTTGGGAAACTGATTATATTAGCAGTAATATCTTTTCGATATGACTTTTGGTTTTGCTAGAATATTGTAAATCTATATAACATGAATGATGTCATTTTAAAATTGATTTTACTTTTTTTATAGGTACATAAAATGATTCTTGGTGCTGTGTGTCCTCAAGTGCTTGATGTTTTCTACAGTACACCTCAGCATAAGCTACCAAAAGTGACATTCCCCAATTCTGTGAGTAAAGAAGCTCTTCTGGCTTTTGCTGAATATATGTACAACGGTGTATTAGATTTAGACCCTGACCTACTTGACCAGATGAAGATCATTGCCCAACAGTTGGGTATGAAGGACTTTGAACAACTCTGCAACAACCAACTGAAGTCATCTTTGGTACCAAACATGCTGCCTACAATACTAGAGCCAATGTTAAGTGAGCCTTGTTCTTCATCTGGTCTTATTCAGCAAATGTCACCTCAGGGTAATCAAACTTCTATTATGGAAATGATTCCTGTCTCAATCAGAAATCATCAAAAAGATGCACATACTGCCAAGTCTTTGGATGCTATATCTACTGGAGTGAGTAACTGCAGCAACTCTCTCTCAAATTTGCCTTTGGTAGAAGTCAGAGCAGAAGCTGATGATACTCTAATGGAAGTTGTAAACAATAATTTTGCTCTTTCTGTTAATGATAACCACTGTGATATTAATGTGAATAGCAGACCTCAGGTGAAGATAGAGAAGGTTGACCCTGAGGACCAACAACAATATGGCAGGGAATCTGTATCCTCTAGTATTAATTATTCCACTTCAGACAGTATCATTACAAGTAATTTCACAAACTTTTCTAACCCAGACTTATCACAATCATCTTCATCTCCCATATCAACGTCACAACACACAGATAATACACTCAACAAACATTTACCAGGAGGTCATGTTTGGAAACAAAGTAATAAAGACAAAAGAAATACAGTTGAAGATGTGAACAATACAGACCCTTATCCTATTAGCCTGTTTACAGCTAATTGGGCCAATCTACCATTACTTACAAAAGAAATTAAAAAGGAGTACAATGTTGAATGATACTTATTGTAATAATAATAATTGGAGTCAAGCAAGTTCTGCGCATTTTTGTCTTACTATGGTCAGTCAACCAAGAATTCAATTTCAATACGTAAAGTCATAAATTTGGATGCCTAATCTGGTATGGTATTATCAAGCTCATCTTGTTGACCAATTCACTGGGTGCCCATATATTGTGTCCTTGTGCCAGTCTAAGCTCAAAGCTCATCTTAGTAAATATCTCTTATCATTTAGATTTGTCCCCATCATTTTTATCATTTTCTTGTTATATTTGCATTCTCAAATGATCTGTTCACTACTCCTTCAGTCTTGGCACTCTTTGCTTTTGGTCATCAAACAGGAAATGGTGTTCTATGTAAAGATCAATGTGTTTTTTTTTATTTATGTTCAAGATATTTGTTAGGGTTGCATCCACATCGATATATAATATCACATATAACACACTTTCATATGTTTGGCTTCACTTTGAAGACTAAATTTCCAAGAAAACATACCAATTTTACTAGTTGTAACCATATTCCTGAATCAATTTTTCCCTCTTCTAAAATTTTCTTCTCTTGAAGAAAAGATTCTTTGGAAGAAAAAAAAATGGATTTGCCTTCTGCAATTTATCCCAGATATTCAAAGAACAGAGAAATGGGTAAGGCCTATGCACATTTAATATCTTTTCTGGGATTATGGTAATCATAATGACATTTAATATTTGAAAGTTGATATTAAATCTTTTTTTTTTTTTTTCAGTTTCTGAAAGTAAATATAAAAGCCAGGTTGAAAATGAAGTACTGTTGCCATGTTTGGGCATGAGCTACCCAGACCTCACTTTCCAGTCTTGATAAAGTTCAAAAGCATCTCTTCTTTTAGTCCTTATTAGAGATGAATTATTTTCCATCCTCCAACCTCTTTCTCACAGGTGGGATGTGGTGAGTCTCTCACTGCTCTATCTCTACTATTATGGAAAGTTCTTGGATGAGCTACAATTCTTGGTTCCACCAGATCTAACCTTCATGGCTAGGACTCACCATGCCACTTACATATTAGCAAACTATCCACATTCCATCAGCAAGAAGTAAGTTTCACTCAAACATCTTCTTCTCATGAACCACTACCCTGTGGAACAGACTCTTAAGAAGATGTTTCCCCGATCACCCAACTTGTTCAAGTCTAGAGTCAACTGTTATCTTCCCCTCTTATCCATATAAACTACCTCTTAATGTAACCCTCTGCCTCAAGTGGCTCCTGGGCCTTGTACAGGGCGAACCCTACTGTAAAAAAAAAAAAAAAATCTGATTATATATTTGTGGATTCTCTGAAATAGTTTACCTGCCTGTGAACATGAGGATGCAAAAGACTTGTTCTATATCTAACCATGAATTTACCCTAGTAATATGACTGAAGAACTAAATTGGCAACGTTTAACTTCAGACCAAGCAAAGAAAACAAAACGTGTGCCAAAACGATGTATTTTTCTCCTCTTACCATAAGCTCTTTCAGTAATTTTTATTGTTTCAAAAAAGTTATTTTAAATATTTTAATAATATAACATGAAACTGAATTTATACATTTTTTTCTTGAGAATTGACAACAGAAATGTTAAACATTATATATTCAATTGTATATTTACAATATTATAAAAGAATTGTGTACAATAAGAATATATTTTACAAAGGTATAGAATTTATGAAATATCACAATTTATTTACAAGATTATAATAATATTCATATAATTCATGTCTGTGCACTATATGACAAGAAAAAAAAACTAACTGTAATTATAAACTTTGAAAAAGTTCATTTTCCAAACATTTTTTACATTTGCTCTCACCTCATAAATTCATTAAAATAACTTGAAGGCATCTCATCCTCTGAAATAAACATTCTTTTAAGTTAAGATTTTAGGCAAGACCACAAACACTCATTATTTTGAATATGGTCGGGGAAGAAGAGGTGGATTCCTATTCTTTCCAAGGTTAATGAATATAATTAACTCGACTCTCCAATTTCCAATTCCATGCTGTTATCTATTACATCAATCACACATCCAAGCTTGCAGCACCTGGTATCCCTAAGCAGTCATTCATCTAGGTACTGACCAAATTTGACATTGTATAACATCAGTGATCATAGGAGAACCTGCATTTCAATGTGATGTGACCGTATGCCAAACTTCCCTTGTAAAAATGAAAGCAAGAAGTAACCTGGGGTAGTTATCGTTCATTGCAACACAACAAATGCTTAAATTCAGTTTTGTATGTTATGGTTTTATTTAAATTCTAAAAATACATTTTTTAAAACAATCAAATTATTGATGGGGAGTGTATGGTAATAGTAGTGTTTACAGAAAAATGTCCTTCTGACACACATTTTTTGCTTATTCCGAGGTTAAAATGTGAATAATTAGCTATCCAGAGGAAAGATGTTTTAGCACAATTTTTTTTTTTTTTTTTTTTTTTTTTTTTTTTTGATATATATTTGAACCAATATAGGTTTCATCTACATTAGTGTAGTGTATGTACCAAATATAGCGTCGGGTTGATTCACTAAATGTAGCAGGAACACCAAATATATAGGTACGACTACTATTTATATAACCAACAAATATATATTGAATAAAATACAACAAGCATGAAATAAAATCGTATTCACAATGTAGATTAAAGAGAAGGAAGTTCTTTCCCTTTGCTCTAGATTGATTGTAATCAACTGTTTGTAGAAAGTTCTCTTGTGAGATAAATGTTCCGAAATAATTGTTAGAGCAAAGTTTGCATGTGAAGAATGAATAACACCGAGAATACAATTGCTTGAAATGTGTTGTGAATAAACTGGTTTGAATCAACAAAGTTCTGGTTGATTGTGCTTGACGAAAGTTAGAGAAAATGTAAGTTTGTAGTTACAAAATTCTTTGTCTGTGTGAGTGCGTTAGTGTGATGAACAAGATCGTGGATTTGTGTTGACGGCTGGGATCTTACTGGCGACTTGCGAAAAGTTGCCCTATTTAAGATAAAGAGGTAGGCTCCCACGGAACCGCAGGAAAACTTGATCTTACATTAAAAATATATGATTGGTTAAAAATTAACCAATCACTACACGCATACTAAACAGAATAGATAAGTATACTCAGAACCAAAAAATTCAAAGGAACGATTGTGATGGCTAAATTGTCCTATACAAAGGTAGTAGTGATTTATTAGCCAATTGCAGATGAATAAAATGACTTGGAGTGTATGTGGATGTGAAAAAAATAGCAACTGCTATATTAGCACAATTTTAATGAATATTTAAAGTTGGGAACAATAAGTTGATGCTTCAAGATGAATGAAATCCAATCATAGTTCACTTTGAAAAATTTTAAATAAGAAATAAACTATTTTTTTAGTATTAATTGAATCTTTATCCAGCTACTCCACCATTTATTATTGAGACATGAAATATTCAAATCCTTTTTATGCCCAGAAATAGAATTCTATTTTTTATTAGTTTTCAAACTGCTGCTATTGGAACATTTCAAATATATTTTCTCTCATTATTCATTTTTTAGTTGCTTAGTTTAAATTTGAAGTTAACTGTTAATGTGTCTCCATAACCAAATCATTAAGGCATTGTCTATGCAAGATATTTTCTCAAAAATATAGGATGCAAGTTCAAATCTGGTTGCTGGCTACTTTTCTATTTCCAATCCAAGGTGTATACTTAACTTTGACAGAATGTCAAATAATTTGGACATTGCAATAAAAAGCAACATAAATAAGATAAAAGAAAAGAAACTTTGTCAAAACATTAAAACATATTTGATCTAAAAGATTTGAACATACTTTTCTCATATCTAAATAACTTAAATTTTTATCACAAATTCATGTTCATATAATAACGAATCATCTTTTGGTATAATTTAGTGTACAGATGAAATTCAATTCACATCATAACATCTAAGTTGCTTCATTTTTAATGGACATGTCATTTTACATTATTTAGATATCAGAAAGTGGAAGACATTAATCTGACCCAAATTATTTAATAGATAAAGATTTATCAACTCTTTCTAGGTTAAATAAACAACCTCTAAACTGTAGATATCAATTTTACCTGGGAGACCATCATTAAACAGTATTTTATTTGTAAAACCATTTTTTTTCTTTTTCTTTTTTTTTTTTTTTTTTTATAACTTTTTTAAAATTCTGGATAAAGATGTTTATAGGTGGTATAGTGTAAGTTTGTATTTACTTGACCTCCAAGTAGAAATGTTCATTTTATTGCTTTGAAAATTATTAGCATTCTGTTTTCATGAGATTTATATTCTCTACTTGGACCCTAAATGACGAAATAGCGAGAAACATTGTGGCATGCTAAAACCAAGTCTCCTATTCCTTCTCTTTAGTCAACACTGCATTTAGAAGAAGAGATGATATGGCTGCTTGTAAAGGGATAAACACTGCAACTGAGATTGTGTATGAAGAGATGGAAGAAATAATATGCTTATATATTATCTTGTTCTGTGTTTTGATTGGCTTATGTATATCCTAACTCACCTCTATGATAAATGATGTTAGAAATGCATGCTCAAGGTAGTACAGTGGTTTTCTAGCCATTAACCCAGTTCTTACATCTCATCTGCTGTCTAATAACAGCATCCTACACACCAACTGCCATTACTTGAAGTATCACTTTAGTTATTGACAGAAATCAGCTGGGCTAATAAAAAGGCTTTTACTGTGCTAGCCTCTTGCATATTCACAATCCAGAAACTTTCTAATCTGCCATATCTTTATTATCTCTCTCTAGTATTCTAGATCTACAGTGTTAAAGCTTACTCTCTCCTTTTTTTTTTCTCTCTCTCTCCTATTAGGCAAGTGCTGCAGGCTACATGCAAAAATCAATGCAAAATCTTGAATTCAGATTTAATTCAGTGTAAAGTATGTTTTATGTTTATTCTTCTTTGTTAGATATTGTCTATTCATGTTTTCAGTTATGCAACTCCACAAGTAAGAAATAATCTTCCAACAAGGAAATTTTGTCTGAACTTGCAGAGCTGTCAGTTTGGTTTGATTTTGAGTATCCATGGAGTGACAATCTTTCTCCCGGCAGCTGGCAAAAACTGATTCATGCTCTAAATAAATTGCTAAAGCCTGAGGGAATTTCCTCCTGTTTTCTACTTTTGGCATATTGCTTTTGCAAGGTCATTTATCAATCTATTGTCTTCTTTGAAGACTTCTCATATTCAAAATCTTTCTTGGGTATTGTTTTCCAGTAGTTTTTAACCATTTTTGATCATACCCCACCAATGACATATAATTTTAATTAACAAGTGAACTCCTATTCATGTGGCAGAAGCCTAAACGTCATCAACTTAACTTTCATTAAGAACTTCAAGGTGCATATATGTAATAGTATTATTTACAATATTTATTAAAATATTGTGTTACTAATATAAAGATACATTACATACAGTATATATGTAATTACACATGTACATACACATATCTATACTGAATACACACTGTATGTATTAACTCACACGCTTTCATGTTCACTAGAAAAAGATTCAATTAACTCATTCTCAAATTGCTCCTGTGAGGCATGCCCCCTCCCATGTTGGAAATCACAGCTTTAAACAGTTAACAAATATTTATCTCAATTGAATTTTAAAATGGTGGAAGGAAGTGGGCAACAAATCCCTCCTTAAGATACTCACTAACATAATGGGCCACTAAATCATATTTTAACATCTTAATTTTACCAACTCATGATTTGAAAATCCATTGTGCAATCTTCTCACTTATTTTATAAACCAGGCAGTTTTAATCTCTATCTGTATTTATTTTTTTCTTTTAGTTTTGGTTTAACTCTTATTGTCTAAAATATTGGTTGGAAAATTTTTTACACACCCAACTTTCTCTGGGTATAAACATTTCTGTTGAGAAAGTTTAACACTCTGTTCTTTGAAATAAATACTTAACTATCCAAAACATAGATGCTCTTCTGCTGCTGGCTTGTAAAATTCTAGCTAACCAGAGTGAAAGGTTTCTATTGGGCCACATTGCCAACTGTTCCTGACCTATGCCAATTTTTTTTTTTTTTTTAGTTCAAAGATATATGAGAATAATGACCATCAATTTATGGTCAGTGAGATAGTTCTTTATTGGTTGTTTCATGTCTGTCCTTTCAGCAAAATTGGTAATAGTCTAACAACTATCTGCTAGGATGAAAATGAAAATTGGGTTAATATACTGATATTTTCTAGCCGTTTTAGAAGTAATATTGAGTTAAATAAAGTTAGGTTGAGTGAAAATCTCTATCTATAAAAGGCAGGATGTGTGTGTGTTTGTGTGCGTTTAACAAATGCACGGCCGCAATTTCCGATGGATTTGCACCAAAATTTACATGCACATGCTCCAAGTTAGCAGGAAGGCCAAGACTGACTTTGCATTTCCCAACTCCTATCGATAGTGGAAATAATCAATTTTTTTCATGCTTCTACGGCAGTTTTCATGTAGTTTGCAGCCATTTTGTACTGGCCAGAGTGAGAGCCTATAGCTGGCTGTCACGAATAGGCAGGAAGAGTGAGAGCCAACAGCTGACTGACACGAATGTTAACTAGCATGCTAGCATGCAAAAAAAAAATCGATAGCTGCATTCGTCACAAGTGGGGAAAAATTTAAATCTCTGACACTTTACTCCAATTGGCTCATTCGCTTGCTTAAACTCAACGTTGATTCTGATTCCGCAGAACTGGGTTGGGTGTGAAAAAGTATTTGTTGTTAACATTCTTTTTTCATTCGGTTTTTCCAGTAGTTACGAGTCCTTTTTTAAAGCTGATCGTTTTGTGTTCATTTTGTTTAGTTCTTTTTTTGTAACAGATTTAATGTTTAGTATAGAGCTTAGAAAAAATTTGCATTGTGAGATAGGCAAGAAGTAAGGCATGTAGCAACATCAGCATGGCAAGAGGCACTCCTTTAAAGACAAGGAAGGGCAAAAATATTTTAAGTCAAGTGATAGCGATTGCTGTACGAGTTGTACGATTTTTGAATCAAGCACAGGCAACGCCAGGCCATGCTGCTTGTAGATATCTAAAGTAAAAGATAAAAGTTATTTTGTATTTATAGAAAGCTGCACATGCTATTACATTAAAAGTCCTATGGGGATGGGACATTTCATCAGCGCCAACTCAACATTGGCCAACTCATCTCTGTGCCAGGACAACTTATCACCAACCTACTTAGCACAAGGACAATTCAATGCTGGCGTCAAATTCATAACTTCAGGCAGGTGTTGGCTGTCCTAATGTGCACATCTCTTAGATCAGCTTTGAGTTGTAAAGTTTTGTAAGTTTAACTGTTTGTCTTAGGCTGTTGTAACTAATAAATCACTATTTGGCTGATTGGTTTTTAATAAAATAACTAACCATGCTGACGCAGAAAATAGAAGACTGCACACAGCTTGGGCTGGAGCACCCAACAATATGGAAATTCATTACAGGGCTGCAAAAAGTGCAAAGAAACCAAGATCCAATTTTTTTTTTTTTTTTTTTTTTTTTTTTTTTTTGAGAAATTAATTGGAGTTCATCCCCCTCCCACTAAATTGAAGAAGTATATGAAGGCAGATGAAAGAATTTTGCAGATTGTTTCTTCTTTTTTCAAAACGATCCCAAACTGAATATTTGAGGGGAATTGCATACAATTTTCAATAAATTCTTAAATTAAGAATAAAATTGTGTATTAAATAACATTCCTTAATAAATTACTTTTGTTTGTTTTTTTTTTTTAAAAAGTTGAGGAAAAATTTCATGTTTGCATGTTGTTGAGTTGTCCTTGCTCTGAGTAGGCTGGTGGCAAGTTGTCCTGGAGTTGAGTTGGGTGATGATGAGCTTTCCTGCACCCAGTCCTACAAACACACATTTTGAATCTTGAAACTTTTGCATTCATTTTGGTATACTTTGAGTGCTTCACCTATTAAATCTCTTTTAATTAAAGAAGAATTGGCATTACTTTTTTAACTAACCCTTATATCATGGCCACCATTGTTTGAAACTGCTGATTTTTAGTCCATGAGTGATGTACATGTAAAATTGTTTACACAAAGAAATCCAGGCCAATGTTTTCATGATTTGCTCATCATAGAAACATTCAGTTAAAATACAGTTCTCTTTAATATCTAATTAAAACAGGTGTGGAAAAGTCTTTCATGGAGTTGGACTGACACAACCAAAAAAAAAATAGCCAGTGAAACAAGAAGGAAATGTGCAGTGAATGCAAAAGGTCAATTCTCTGATTTTACATTATAATCGATGTGCAGAAATATGCGTGAAATTCTTTTGGTCATGATGCCATTAACAGAATCAATAGCTAGAAATGATTTTTAATGTTTTTCTATTCAATCAGATTAACTAAATTATCAATAAGGAAAACCATTATCAAATATATGTTGAGTATGAATTTATATGGAAAGTGATTTGTAACAAAAGTCCAGTAATTATAGTGATACATATTTTAATAAATTGGTTGAATCAGGTAAAAGATTTTTTTTTTTTTTTTTTTAATCAAATAATTTTCATCTATCATTGTTATAAAACAAATGATAATATAAAAATAATCTCTACTTGTAGCAGCATATTTCTGACTAATGGAAAGTTTATATAAAAAATTATGCTGCTGTATATTTATGTGGCTCTGATTAAACCCACCAAAATAAATACAGATTTGTTAAAAATAAATTACAGATTTAACTAGCACCCACTGACAAACCTATTAATAAAGAGAAAAAAATAGTGTAAAAAAAATTTATGTGAACCTGAGAACATTTTTGAAATTTTTTTTATCCCTTAGTTGAAAAATAAAACCAATTTATTACAATAGATTATTTTTTTACAAAAGTAAAATAACATTGCAACAGAAAGACAGTCTAATATACTTTGTAAAGATTAATGTTTAAAAGATTTTTCAAATCAAAAATTGAAATTCTGTGTTAAGTGATGCCAAAAGAAAACTTGCATTTTGCTATTTGACTCCATATTTTGTATTTCTTTTTGGATAAATAAATGAATTTTTAAAAAAATTGTTTTTGTATTCAGGGTTTCTATGAAGTAGTAGCATTATTACTATTGAAACAAAAAAATAAGCTTTTTTTATGTTATTTTATTTTTTTTTGTTGCTAAATTTTGTACTTTGTTTTTTATTTATTTATTTTTTTTTTTTGCCAATTTGCAAATTAGCTTTTGTTCCTTTATTTCATTGCAATGGGCCGTGGAATGCAAGAAATCTGTAAGAAGTGAAAAGAATTCCCACTACTTGTGCCAAAGACTGGTCTGCACCCAAAGAATGTGAGGCTGTACATCTTGTGGTATTATAAGAAAATTGTCTACTGTGAACTTAATGAAAAATCAAACCATTGATTTGAACCAGTGGTGTCCCCAATTCAAACCAACTGAAGATAGCAGTCTGCAAAAAGCATTCATAATTAGTGAAGAGAAAAGATATTAAAAACTCCATCAGGAATAAACTAATGTTTCTTTGGGGACAAGGCATAAATTATAAAATTTTAACTGTGAAATTTTGATTTATCTGCTATCATCATGCACTATTTATTCTTGTCTTTCATCACACAGATTGAACATTATACAATAGTAATTTCAAATCAAAATTCAGTTAGTATATGACAGACTGCTGTCTTATTGATGTACCTACACACACATATTGACAGTATAGACGTAGAAATCAATACTCTGTTTTCATACCTCAAGTGATCTTTTATTGGTCTAAAGATCACAGGATGTGAAACAGTCATCATGCAGTGTTCAATTCTTTTTTCACATTGTCTATATCTGTAAATGATCTATCACCAATACTGAGCACTCTTCCTCCATAAATTATAGTAAATTTTACACTACGTATGTA